TGGTCGTCATTAACACTTAACAACATTCTACAGCCTCAGTCTCTATTGTTGAATTCTTAACCCATGATGACAAATTGAGAGAAGAAAAATTCTCTTGTCGGTTGGCTGGGATTTCATCTTTGTTTCGGCAGCTTCGCAATCCAACACTGTTGAAGTCCTCAGCTGCTTTTACACCTGAAAATCCCGAGGTTGTTTCCTCGGGGAAAACACTCCAATGCTCAAGTCAGCAATACTCAATACTTTAGAGAGAGAGACTCTTAAGGAGTAATTGCAGAGAGAGAAGCGTAGAAATTAATTACCTTCATTAAGGTAGTTGGGGGGTATTTATAGCCCCTTGGTGCTGACATACATCTACACGTGTTAGCCTCCCATTGATCCACTTGGCATTGGTCACATGGGTATGCTTGTACTGATGCTCCCTCAGCTTGGGCTAACAGGTGGTAACCTAGGCCCGTTATGCATAGCCCAATACTGTTTGGGTGTTGGGCTGGGCCTATTCCAACATTACTCCCCCCCCAGCGTTCGGTTGACGAACTGGAATGGATGTAGCCATGAGCCAACGTTGTTGGGCCATAGCCCAGTACTGTTTGGGTGTTGGGCTGGGCCTATTCCAAACGGGTTTGACAGATTGCGGCCGACCTTGACGAGGGCCGAGCTGAAAGGTAGAACAAGAAGAGGCGAGCTAGCAAGCCTGAAAACGTGTGGGCGAGCTGGTATTCATAGCCACATTAGTGTGGGTTCGTTATGGCGGCGAGCTGAAGTATTCGCAACAGGCGAGCTTGCGTGTGATGTATCGCCCGATCAGCTCGTCCATGTGACGATCTGACCTTTGAGTACTACCGAAGTGCGACCAGGTGACGCTCAGTTAGCTATGATCACGAGGTGAGGTGACACGACCTCATATTCAGTGCGACTTGAGATTTTTGACCACACTTTATCAGCCCGCACGAGTGGTGTTGTCCAATAGGGCGACCTAGGGAACCCCTTGATTTGTGCGAGTTGCAATCCGTGTGACGACCTGACAAATGTGGTTGTCGTCACGATGTGTGACGAGCTGAATCATGGGGGGGACTTTAGCAAAAAATTTACACTGTTGAACGAATTGTCACGGTTGAGTCGATCTAGCCAAATGTCATGTTTGTAACGACCTGGTAGGTGTGCTCGCAATGGCGAGCTGATTTGACAGTATAGGGTACACATCAGCAGTAACGATCTGAGTCCTGGTGGATTTTTGAATCTCTGAGGAGATACGTTTGCGCGACCTGATTCCTGGACGATTTGAATCTTGGGGATTTTTAAACCAACCGAATCTGACCAGATCTCGGAGGAGATACGTTTGCTCTTCCATATCTCTTTATCTTCCTCGCCATAAATGCTGGCGCAGCGTTTGAGGAACGTGACAGCCAGAGGCGGCGCATGTTATGCAAAAGGCAGTTAAACGCCTACCACGTGTGAGACGCCTATTGGCGCGTCAGAGACACGCATACTGCGTTTAATACAGTCATTTTGGTTTTGTTTCTTTCGTAACCGTTCCCTTTGCCATTTTCATTTCATTACTTGTGTAAGTTCAACGAGTTTCTCTGCAGTACCACATCTGGGTTTTGAAGAACAGAGTATAAGGTCATCACTTTGCACAGCATCCACCATCATTCAAAAGGTAAAAATGGATTTCTCTAGAGAATTGAGAGAGCTACGGGGTAACCAGAGTAGGGAAGAAGAAGAGGTGGTGATTGCCGTGGAACCCATCGCGATGATAGTACCACCGGAGTTGCAGGATTTGCCGGAGACCCTAACGTCAGAGAGCAGCGCCAGTTCAAACGCCGGAGATAATGGCGACGGCCACCGCGATTCACCGTCCAGCAGCTCGTCCTCTGGGAATCATGAGCCAGAACCGGAGAACGTGGGTGGTATCGAACAGGGTCTGCCCGTGGCTGGGGAATGGGAGGATAGGGTACTCCCGGGCAGACTGAGCAACATACGCAAAGCTCCCAAGGATCTGCCAGCCGGGTTTAAATTCAGGGCGGCGCTTCATCACGAAGTAGCGGACTGCGCGCCCTCAATAAGTGGGTACAGAAGGCTGGAGGAGATGATACAGGAGTACCACATCCCGAGGACTATATTGGTGCGAACTGGCGGGCAGAACGAGAGGGCTTGCTCGGTGTCGTGGACGGGCTGGATACCCGTATATGCAGATCATTTTGACGCCGGTCTGCGATTTCCACTGCCCGGGCTGGTGTTCGACCTGCTGGCCGACTACGAGCTGGCTCTGACGCAGCTGACGCCCAACAGCATAAGGTTCATCGTGGGCTTTATGCTGTTGTGTGCAAGACTAGAGGTACCGGCCAAGACGATAGTGTTCAAGTCGCTGTTCCAGTGCCGGCTGTGTCCAAACTCAGGAGGGGCGAGATGGTACTACCTCTTTGGGAGGGATAAGAGCCAGCTCTTCAAGAACGTGAGGAATAAAGTGGCGCGGTGGAAAAGGCAGTTCATTTTTGTTCGCAACACGCGAACAGAGAGGGTAAGCAACAACCTCGCTGCCCGTCTGTCGGACTGGCGTACACCAAACGCGCATGTAAATTATCCCCAGCTGCTGCCACGGGACACAGACCTCAAAAACCGGCTGCTAGAGCACGCAAGGTGCGAAAATTTAGTAGATCTAGAAGCGCTGGTTACCCCGGAGCTGCTCGCCGTGTTTGGGTTTGTCGACGCGGCAAACCTATTCACAGAAGGTAGATTTTTCTCATATGGTAGGCACTGTAGCCGGTCTGAGTCTTATGCATTTTTTTGTGCAGGAGAAATGAGTAGCATCTTGGAACGCCAGCGTCAGTGAGCCCAGAGTTCGCGAGGCCGTGGGGCGGGCAGTAGCTCGTAGAGGCAAACGCGGTTCGACGAGCGTCCACCTGCAGCGCCTCAATCACGCATCTCATCCCATCGAGGGTCCAGCTCGGCATCTAGGCCGCGGGCTGAGCCTAGAGTTGAGGCAGCGGCCCCGGGTGCACGCAAGCGACCACGCGAAGAGACAGAGAGCGAGGAGGATGAGCTCCCCCTCGCTAGGCGCAGAACAAGCGGGGGGACTCAGCCCGCACAGGCGGCTCGTCCCCCAACCGTGCGTTCTCCCACTGCACCTCCAGCGATTGCGCGGGCAGCAGCAGAGCCCACCCCTACCTTAGCTTCAACATCGGGCCCCAAGATCGCTTATCCTTAGGGCTTCAGCTATGTGCGGGCGGAGTGTCAGCCCGCCATGGTGCAGGCCATGCACAGCTTTGTGCCCCCCGCGGATAATAAGCGGGCCAAAGCGTTTGTGCAGCAACATGGCGGCCAGGTCGCCATGATCAAACTTATGGACGTAAGTATCTGGTCATACCTGTTTAAGTGTTTTACTTTTCCTTACTAGGTACTTACGATTGTTGCTGCTTGGCAGGCATTCAGCTATGCTGTGGCGCTATACGAGAGCGAGTAGGCGGCTCGTTCTCAAAATAACGAGCTCAGCGCCAACTGCAAACAGCTGGCCACAGAGAAGGCCAGCCTTGCGGATGATGTCAATCGTTTGCAAGGCTCGGAAATGGCTAACCGGGCAGCGGCGGCAGAGAGCCGAGCGGAAACCTTGGCGACCCAGAACAACGAGCTCAGGGAGGACTTGGAGTGAGCTCGCGCGGAAAAGGAGAGCGGCATCCAAGCAGCCAAGGATGAGGTCGCTCGCATTGAGGAGCGAGCAAAAAGGGCTGAGGTGGAAAGGGACCAGGCTCAGAACGAGCTGAACTCCCTTAGGCGCCAGGTCGCCGAGGCCGAGCAGAACCTCACTGCTGCTGAGAAGGCGCTGAACGAGCTGAAGACTCAGCACGCACGCTCAGTAGGCATTGCCCGAGCTCAAGGGGCAGAGTGGCTGGTCGGCTCTTCTAAGTTCCAGGACGCAGTGGCGATGGCGTCTGCTAACCTGACCACAGAAATCTACAATGAGATTCGTGGAAAGGTGCTGCACCACCGCCCTGATTTTCCAATCCGAGAGCTGGCCTTCTTCGACGAGGAGGAGCTTGACGAGCAGGGTAGGAGCCTTGCTCCCCTCGCTGAGGTTACAGTGCGGCTGAGGTGGGACCTCAACGAAGAGGGAGTACCCGTCTGGCCTCCTTCAGTTCTGGAAGAGGGGGAGGACCCAACGGGTATGTCCTCGTTTGATGGATGAGTGGAGGGGGTTCCTGTTGCTGAGCAGGAGCCGTCAAGTACTCCTCCCAACTCTCAGCCCGCAATGGCGCTGCCCGTCGTGACACCAGCTGCCGAGCCAGCTGCTCGCTCTCCTCCGGCTCGCTCACCTCCAGCTCGCTCACCTCCGCCAGCGGCTGATGCGTCCATGCCTGTCGACCTGACGGACGATTAGGCTTACGAGCTTTTGTTTCGTTCTTTTGTATTTTGGCGTTTTTGTATTTGATCAATAGATTCAGATCGTATGTACTTCTAGTGTAACATCGTTGATGAAATACAAAAATGACTTTTCTTTTGAATCTTTGTTGCACTTTCTGTATATCTTTGTTTACAACTGTTAGATAACACCTTGAGCGAAATAATATTACACACGTTAACTGTAAAACTTTCTAAGATTCTGTACGTTCCAAAGGTAAGGTAACTGACGCCCATGTATATCTGCTAACACGTAAGAGCCAGGTCGCTTAACTCGCACCACCATATAGGGGCCTTCCCAATTAGAAGCGAGCTTACCCATGTGCGAATGAGTGTTAGTTAACCCAGCTTTACGTAGGACCAGGTAGCCAACTTGAAACTGGCGAGCTCGGCCTCTTTTATTGTAAAATTTTGCAACACGATTTTGATGCGCCACGTTTCTTATTCTAAACATCTCCCTGACCTCTTCTACGAAGTCCAGGTTCTCTCTCAAAAGTTGCTCATTGTTGAAGTCGTCGTGCCGGCCTGCTCGATCAGATGGCAATCCAACCTCTACTGGGATGACGGCCTCAGCTCCATAGGCCAGGCTGAAAGGGGTTTCGCCCGTGGCCGAGCTGGGTGTGGTGCGACAAGACCAAAGCACTTTATCGAGCTCGTCAACCCAATTAGAATGCGCAGCCAAAACACGTGTCTTGAGGCCTCGCAAGACGATTTTATTGGCGGACTCGGCTTGCCCGTTGGACTGTGGGGTATACACGGACGTCAAAGCGAGCTCAATGCCATAGTCGTCACAAAACGATCTCAGCGCTGCTGCTCGGAACTGTGGCCCATTGTCGGCGATAATTCGCTTAGGTATGCCGAACCTGCACACAGATTAGCGAGCTAAGCTACGAATCACGTTTGCATATATTTTATGACCTCGGTCACCAAAGAATACCTGCACAATATTGAATTGAACAAGAATTCTTCTATTTTCCTTTCTGTTGTCGTGGACAATGGTTTAGCTTCTATCCATTTAGTAAAGTAATCCACTGCAACGACCAGGAAAGTGCAGCTTCCTTTGCCTTTGACGAAAGGGCCGAGCAAGTCGACACCCCATTGAGTAAAGGGCCAGGGAGATGTAAGAGAGGATAGCATTTCCCCTGGCATATGTATATCATCAGCATTGAATTGGCAGGTTGGACATTTTTTGACATAGTTCTGTGCGTCCTCAACCATGGTGGGCCAGTAATAACCATGTCTCAGGGGTTTCCGAGCTAAAGTTTTGCCGCCGATGTGCGTGCCACATACTCCTTTGTGAACTTCTCTCACAGCGTATTCAGCTTCATAAAGAGTGAGGCAGCGTAGTAGGGGCATTGAGGCTGCTCGCTTGTAGAGCTGGTTATCTAACAAAGTGAAATGTGCCGCCCTGCGTTTAATCAATTTTGCAGCGGACTGGTCTTCAGGTAGCTCGCCACTTTGTAGATAATTTATGAGCGGGGTGGTCCAGCTCGACCTAGAGGGGTCTGTGCTTAGCAACTGACACTCAACTGTGGAATTGGTGTAGCTTGGTGCGTCAAGTACCTCGAGAATTGTTGATCTCTGAGGGTTAATGTCCTGTGAGGAGGCCAACTTTGACAGCTCGTCGGCTCGGTGGTTATCTGCCCGTGGTATTTTGTCGATCTGAAATGAAGCAAATCTTGACTTCAATCTGTTGACCACAGAGGTATAACGGCCAAGCTAGGGATCCCTAACTTCACAGTTGCCATTTACTTGGCCCACCACGAGCTGAGAATCACTGAAAACTTGTATGCTCTGTACCTTCAACTCAGACGCCAGCTTCAAACCATAGATGAGCGCCTCATATTCAGCAGCATTATTGGTGGTCTGGAACTTAAACCTCAGCGCGTGCTCGGACTTGAAACCATCAGGGCCCAGTAACACAGCTCCAGCACCAGATCCTTCGTCATTAGCAGCTCCATCCACATACAAAACCCAGAATGGGTGTTCAGGTGCCTTTTCTTTCACAGCCGCTGGGGCACATTCAACTAGGAAGTCTGCCACAGCTTGGCCTTTTATAGTCGTGCGCGGCTAAAACTTAAGGTCATACTCACTCAGTTCGACACTCCACCCGATAAGCCGACCAGAGAGCTCTGGCTTCTGCAGTATTTTCCTTAGTGGGAAATCAGTATAAACAACAATCTGATGAGACTGAAAATAGGCTCTCAGCTTACGAGCTGTGCAAACCAACGCAAAAGCAGCCTTTTCTGCTAGCGGGTAGTTCTGCTCGGCACCTTGTAACACCTTGCTCACGTAGCAGATAGGCTTCTGGTTCTTATTCTCTTCCCTCAGTAGTACCGAACTCGCTGCTTCTTGTGTGACCCCCAGATAAAGGTATAAACATTCTCCATCAACAGGCTTGGACAGTAGGGGTGCGGATGCCAAATATCGTTTGAGCTCGTCAAATGCCTGTTGGCATTCATTGGTCCACTGGAAGTTCTTAGGCTCCCACAGAGCTTTGAAAAACGGAAGGCACCTTTCTACCGATCTGGCTATAAACCTGTGCAACGCAGCAACACGGCCCGTCAAACACTGCGCGTCTTTGACAGTCCTTGGTGGTTCCATCTGCTGAACGGCCTCAACCTTCTCTGGATTTACCTCAATTCCTTTCTTGGATACCACGTATCCTAGGAATTTTCCCGACTCTACAGCAAATGTACATTTCAAAGGATTTAGCTTCATTTGTGCTCGGCACAAATTTTGAAAAGTTTCCTCCAGGTCGCCAATGTGATCCTCAGCTCGCACGCTGGTGACTATCATGTCATCTACATATACTTCTATGTTCCTGCCGATCTGGAGCTTAAAGATGATTTGCACCAGCTTCTGGTATGTTGCTCCAGCATTTTTGAGGCCGAACGGCATCATGACATAGCAGTAAATTGCGTCACTAGCGTAAAAAGCTGTTTTTTCCTGGTCGTCTAGCAACAACTGGACCTGGTGGTAACCCGAGCTTGCATCAAGAAAACTCATCCTTTCATGTCCTGTTGCCCGTTCTACTAGCTTCTCTACGTTTGGCAACGGGTGAGGGTCTTTTGGGCACGCGTCATTGAGATTGGTGAAATCAATGCACATCCTCCATTTGCCGTTTGGATTTTTGACGAGCACAGGGTTGGAGACCCATTCAGAGTATTCCACTCTTCTAATGAAGCCTGCCTGTAACAGCTTTTGTATCTCTTCGTCAATGGCAGCTTGCTTTTCAGGGCCAAAAAGGTGACGCTTCTGTACCACCGGCCTCCTGGTAGGGTCCGTGCTGAGCTTGTGGACTGTCAGTTCTGCCGGGACGCCAGGCATTTCATCCGTAGTCCACGCAAATACGTCCTGATTATTCCTCAGGAATTCTAAAAGTT